CAGAAATCTCATAGTCATTAGCATTTGATTGTCATCACTTTTGCTTTTTAACACTAGATCAAAAATATTAATACGCAAATTACAGAATTCAGAGAGTATAAAATCAAGTAATCTTAAAGCTGAAATGGAGAAATTTTAAGTGAAACTTCATTTTATATTTGAAAAAATGAGGAAATCATTATAATCAAACTGTTCTGAGTCTCTTAGAGGCAAATAAACTAAGTTTTCTAAAATTGTTACACTCATTGTTATAGTATATTCTCTCTGCACTGACATTCATGAATCTTTACTCACTTCTGATGTTACACATCACTTTGAGTTATGGTTACATAACGTTAAAAATGTTAATTTCTTCAGAACAACAAAGTTTGCTTGCTCTTTGTCTTCACAACGTATTATTTGATGCCTTGTTCTCGGCAATTTAAATCAAGATTTCTAAATCTTGTGGTAGATGCGATTTTTCACAATTTAGATTTTCTAACCCCAGATCTCAAAAAAAACTGACTCTAATTTTAGTTTCATAAATCCAGTCCAACTCTTGATCAATGGGGAAGATGTTTTCTTAAAATGGAACCAAGGGCCCAAACATCTTGGCTATATTAAAAGACTACCCCAGATTAAATGATCTTTTGAGATTCATGGAAAAGATGAGGATGCCTTATGGGATGGGTAGAAACAAGGGAAGGCTTTGAGTAGGATCACTAATCTGAGAAAAAGTTGATCATCATGTTCTGTCAATACAAACTGTCATCCTTTGAAACACTGTCATGCCTTCCTTAAGGAAATCAATCAGCACACTGTCACTGGGCTAGTATAGAAATGTGACTGTTGATATACGCCAGGGAAGATGGAAATTTGAAGTAGAAAATAAAAATAACTGTAACATCATTATATAAACTAATTTCCACTGAATTCCTACCATGAGAAAAGAAGGAAGTCCCTGTGGTTTATATACATATTCTGAGTCAGACTGGGTGCTTGAGGGATGTTTCTATTTGTGAAAATGTTGGCTTTCCTGTCAAAAAATACTTACAATATTTTAAAAGCTTTATAAATAACAAGCCATCTGAATTAAAAAGTGAAAGTTAAAGAGATCCTGTGATTTCCTACTCCTGACCAACAGTTCTTTCAAATACTGCAATGTGTAGTATGATGTGTGTGAGTATGCAAATAGCTATATGTATATAGGGAATTAGCATTGCAGTATGACTTTACTTGAAAGAGAGAAAAGAGAAGGTTTCAAATCTGGATTCTTTTTTAAGTGGCAACTATTAATAACATCAAGAACTCTTATAGATGATTTTTTTTCTTTAGAGAGTAACATGATCCATTAAAAAGTTGAAAATCTCATCAAAGTCACATATATAAGTTTTATTTTTACTTATTTTTTAAACAAGCAGAATTACTTGGTAATTACCTCATTCCTCCACTTTTTCCTTTTTAAATTTTATTTATTTTTTGAGACAGATTCTCTCACTGTTGCCCACGCTGGATTGCAATGGGGCAATCTCAGCTCACTGCAACCTCTGTCTCCTGAATTCAAGCGATTCTCCTCCCTCAGCCTCCCGCCACCACGTTCAGCTAATTTTTTTTTTTTTTTTTTTTTTGTATTTTTTTAGTAGAGACAGGGTTTCACTATATTGGCCGGGCTGGTCTCAAACTCCTGACCTCCACCCGCCTCAGCCTCCCAAAGTGCTGGGATTACAGGTATGAGCCACTGCACCCAGCCCTTTTTCTTTCTTTCATTCTTCTCCTTTTGTATCATCAATCTTCAGTGATCCTGCTCTGAAGGTCATCTATCCATCTACAATCTGTCTGTTGATTAGGAGTCAGGAACTGCATTCTGGTTCCTACCTCTATCATTTACCAGTCACATGATGATAAGCATAATACATATCACCCTGAAACTCATTTTCCAAATATTTAAAATGTGAAATAATACTTTCCCTGTTTGTGCCAAGGTATACTGAAACTCATAAAAAGGTAAGCTAAATTAATATATGTATATATTAGTTTTAGAAATAAATATTCTAAATCTTATGAAATTTCATACTACATACATTTTAAACATTTAATAAATATTTTCTGCCAATGTCTTTAATTTCAGTTAATTAATATCAAATAGTCAATAGTAGGACCCCTTCCTGTATAAATTGATCTATTTAAATATTTAAATTGACCTTTTTTCCTAGAATTTTTCTCTATATTTCTCCCTTCTCTCCCTTTGCTATTTGAACTATTCAAATACATTTTATATTAGCCTAGCTAGGATAAACTGTGATTTTGCTATTCTTGTCTATTCAACAAAAGTAGAGCAAATTAATATTAATTAAATTCTCATCCTATTCCGCAGGACAAAGGGTCTTTTAAAAGAAATTATTATGGTTGGCCTACTTATTTCACATTGTAAAATTTACGAAAGTTTATGGATAAATCAAAACATGCTTCTTTTCTCTCTTTTTCTTTAACTCTCCTTTCCCATAGCATATATGCCACTTTCAAGACAGGGCCTTTTTGCAAGTCAAAGTGCATTCAGTAAAAGTCACCCATGTCATGGCCCTCTGCATGCCTGGAGCTATGCTTTGTGTTCCACTCTCATTAGTTTTAACAAGCAGTCAAAACAGTATTTGTCCACGGGGTCATACAAATGCCCCAGTACTTCAGGCACATCATATAGTTACTTTAGGCTTATCACACGTTCTAAAACAGAAAGAGATTTTAGAGCATTTCTAAGACTCATCTAAGAACCTGTAGTGAGACTTTTTGTCATTTGCTGACAATCTTTCAAAGAATATCAAATGAAAGCACATTTTAACAAAGCTAAAATTATGCCAGCAGGCTTATTTGTTTTATCTGAATTAGTTAAGCAGCTTTCAAGTCAAATCAGAAATTTCTTGGAAGTTCGTTAAGCTTCCCTAAGGGAGACATGACAAAATTATTCCTTGAATAAACCACTACATTTTAAAACAACACATTTGTCAATATGGTCAGTTGAAGAGACCCTATTGCTAATATCCAATTTAAACTTGGTAAGGTCTCATTTTGATTTTACCTATTAATTTTTATTGTCCAAATAAACTTTTTATTTGTTTAGGCTGTGCTGTGCAATATGATAACCACTAACCACATGTGGCTATTAAAATTAAAATGGAATTAATTAAGCATTTAGTTCCTCAGTAGCAATAGTTACTAAGTACTTTCAAGGACTATAGCCATGTGTGACTAGTGGCTACTGTGTTGTATCACAGATTATAAAACTACTGCCCTTGCAGAAAATTCTGTTGTGGAATGTTGCTTTAGAGAGAGACTATCCACTCCGCTACTCAATTTATTATTTCAAGTGATAAACCTCACGTTTCTATAAGTAGTTGAGTGTTTTAAAGCAGCTTCAAAAATCTTCTATGCAGGTATATCTACTCCATACTAAGTGCTTATTTTTCCCAATTCTGCCCCTGTGATAATTATCATCCCCATATTATGACTGAAGAAATTAAAGGTCAAAAAGATTAAGCTGAAAGTAGCATGTCTGGTAAGAGGTAAGCACAAAACTGTGATCCATATCTGTCTGACTCCTGAATATTTTTCCATTTCATCAGATTAGGAGATGTCATTGCGGGAACTTCACCCCAAAGTGCTCATTTAAAAATCATCTGATTTTTAGTTTTTTTCAGGAACCTCCAAACTGTTCTCCATAGTGGTTGTACTAATTTACATTCCCACCAATAGCATAGAAGAGTTCCCTTCTTTCCAAATCCTTCTCTTTCTGCTTTTCACTTCATATACTCAAACATATTTGCATTTCACTGAAATTTGCTCAAGAGGTCTGTAGCCTCCCATTTCTGAATGAATTTACTAACAAATATATCTTTACAATAGATCAGCATCAGTTGAGCAATGTTCCCACATTATATATCCTCTAGGTCAAAACCTTCAGATGATATATATCAGAATGTCTTATTTATATGTTTTGGGGCATATTTTTAACACTAGTTATTATATAGACCATAGTTTGGCAGAATATTTATAAAAGTGTGAAAATCCCCTGAACATATCTATGTGAAACATGTACATTTGTTATTTCATTAACATATATTTTCCAAGATCATTCAAGTGCATTGTACTATTTCACATACCCCAATCTGAGTTATCTATTACTTTTTATACCATATAAGTAAAAAGAATTGATCATTAACTTGATAAATGTGGCCCCTCTGCACATATTTTGAAGAATACCAAATATTCAATCTATTCTTCTCTCTACCTTCTCCATCCTAAGACCTAAATCAAGCCAGGATAGGTTATTCAAATCAACTGATTGAATCTTTTTTGTTAAAAGGCTTACTTACCCTTTACAACAAATGAACACTCTGTTTTCAAATAATAGTTAAAATAATGAAAATATTTAACATTAACAGAACATTGACTAAAATTTAATCTCAATTTGATGATTCAGGATATGCTAAAGACCTTGCTTTGCCTTGAAATTCTCATGAAAAATATTTATCTATATATGTTCAGAAATGCTAGTAATAAATTAAATTGTTCTAGTCACTTGTCAAGTAGATTTATTTGGCACCATATCGAATGGCAAGATAAAATTTTTGTATCTAAAGTAATCACTAGGAAAAATTGACAGTCAGATTTCTGGATTCATTCTTAATGATTTGCTTATGTCAAGTTTTTGGCAGAAGCATGACTGGACAGATTAAAAGAATGAAGCTGGGCAAACTACTGATTTGTAAGTAGCAGGGCTGACCTCCTTGTCTGATCCCTTCGTAGATTAATGGAAACACAACTGTTTGAAAATGAATATACATACCATGAAAATTCATAATTCTCATGTAATTGAAAAAACTGCATTGATGAATTTTCTCCACTATGCTTTAAATTACATAAATTTTGAAAAATTGGGGTGATGGCTTACTCAAAATTTGAAATACATTAATATTTTTACTCTTTAAAAAATGAGACATCTTTAACAAAGCGATTTTAAAACGCACCTTAATTAGCTCGTAGTTTTGAACTCCGTTTATTCCTACGTCAGGATCAATGGCCGCTGGGAGAGTATATTTAGAGTTTATAGCCGAGTTCTCTGGAATTGATATGTTGATAACCGTTGTTGGGAACAATGGTGCATTATCATTTATATCTTCTATCAGAAAACGTATCTTAACCAGTCTAAATATTTCATCCGGCAAAATGGCAACCTCCACTTCATAAAAGCATTGCTCATCCGTTGGGATACCAACACATAATTTCTCACGATCAATGCGAGCGCCAGTAGTGAAGATCTCACCAGTATCCTCTTCAATTCGAATCAGTGGCACATCTCCGGTCTTGTACACTAGCTTGAACTGCATAGCAGATGTCAAGGACTTGTTTGGAACCAGCGACAAGTTAAGGTCTTTCAACAAGTCGCCTATCAGGACGTTTTCTGGCATTTCTTCCCGGATGGTGTAGTTCTTCTCCTGGGCGCCAGAGTGGAACACCACGCATGCTAGGAGGACCGCGAATATGTACGTCCCGGACAACAAGTCCATAACAGGCCGACTTCTTATAGTTCGTTGTGTTAACCCGCACAGCACTGACCAAGAGGAGAGAGAGAAGAGGGAGAATAAATTATTAAGAAATCAACCCTAAACATGCATGTTAACAACAGTTGTTTTAAATTAAAATCACTAAATGAGATGTTAGCATAATTGAGACTCTGTTAGTGATAAATTTGTTTTGAATCAAATATTATGAATTTGTACAGTAAGAATAAAGATAAATGAAATAAGATAACTAAAGTATAAAAAATGACACAGAATACCTATAAAAGTGTCCACCATTGATAAATATATAAAAGATAATACTTTAATATACCAAGATAGTTAGAGAATACAAATAATTAAAATATTTAATTCAACAGTTAAGGGAAAATAACGGGTATTTGTTACAAATCACAAAATATAATCTTTATTCTTTGTTATAATATGGGTTTAAAATGCAATTATTCTCTTGGCAATGAATAATTTATACAATAGTCCATTTCTTCAGCTCTGGGCATCAAAGTGAAAAAAAATTGATCTGGATAAAAGGAGACAAATAATTATTATAAAGGAGGGACTAAGAAAGTTTGATTTGAAGTAGAGAAGTTTGGGAGAGGAGAGGTGTTGATGTGACAAATGCCTAAACATTGTAACAACTATCATGTGCAAAGGGGATTAGAGGTTTTTTCTTTGGATAAGAAAAACAAGAATAGCTATTAATATAAAGTACAGGTAAGCGACTTTCAGATTGACATAACTGCTTATTAAAGGATTCTGAAAAAAAAAAAAAACATTTCAGGATATTTCAGGAGTGTATTCCATATCTTTGGAGGTACTGCACCACCAGATTAGATCTACTATATTTGCTTTAGATATATAGATATGGTAGATGACGTCCAAACATTCAATGGGAGAGTTAGACTAGAAGACATCCCAACCCTGAGAATTTATGTTTATAGAATGCAGAAGGTAATTCATATAAAAATGAGTTTTCACATCTACAGACTAACAGGAATTACACAACTTCAAGGAAGAGCTTGAGTAGGGCTTGAAAATAAGAAAGGCATTTAAAAACAGTACCAAGTTGAAAGTGAGTCAAAAATCAATCTCTCTTGCTACTTCTCCCTATCATTTTTCACTCACTGAAAGCTTTAAAATTATTTCAGTTCTTCAACTCTTCTGACCAAATTCAAAGAGGAATTTTGATTTTCTTAAAATCTGCAAATTTTTTCTTCAGTTTCCTTTCGTAATTCTCAATTCTTATTCTCTATTTTATTTAATATATTCTCAAGTTTATATATTAAATATCTTTTAATCTCTAGTATAATTAAACATTCTAATGTGCTTCTTCTGGATGGTATTTGTAAATGATATGTAAACAGAATTAAATTTGTATCACACTGAGCTAAAGCCTATCAGATGTTATACTTTTATAACTAAATGAAAGTTAATCCAACTATTAAGGTATTTAGCAGTTTTGAAAACTCAGTGGTCAGATGGTTACTTAAAATTCCATTCCAGAAATGTATTAATGCATATATGTATCCAATTAAGGAATTTCTCAATATTTATTGGTATTTGATAACAACAACAAGTTTTAGTAATTGTTCTAAAAACAGGAGGACTACAGGATATAAACAAGTTGTTATGGATATTGTGCTCTGATTATGCCAAGCAACATGTTATATGAAATAACTGTCCCATTGCATAGCTGCACATCTGCATTTTTAAAAATATGCATATGCCAATGTTGGAAGACACAAAATTGGAAAAAAAGAAATCTTCCCATTTATAATCAATAATCAAATAAATGCATCTGTTGCAACAATTGAGATAGTTTGGGTCGGGAGTAGACTTTAAACATCTCGTTAATTTTTATCACAAAATTTGAAAATATATATTATGAATCCAACGACTTTCCTGTGTTGAGCATTTGGTATCATATATAAAATACGTTAGTTATGATAGTGAGTAATGCTAGAGCTGAAGACATTCTTTATCCTAGTAAAGAACACAAAAACACTGTTGCCTGTGGTATAGTATTTTTAGCATCATTTGTACAATGATGTGCATTGGGATTACATAATATAAAAGCTTGCTCAAAATTCACTCTTGGGAATTTTTGGTTTTATACTCTGTTATGAAGGTGAGATTTAAAATACCCCATTGATACTACCAGCTAATATGCACACATATATGTGTTCTATATGCTGTGAATCTAGCATATATAAGAAGTTTTGGATGTTTATGTGATTTTATAAATGTCATGCAAACATAAGCAGAAATAAAAATGGGGCAGTGACAATTGGAATTAAAACTATAGCTCTGTTCTTATCTTACCCTTAGGTATTACACATTATTACAACTGGCAGAAGAATACTACAGACTGTTTTTAAAAACACTGCAGGATATTCTCACTTATAAGTGGGAGTTAAATGATGAGAACTCATGGACATATACAGGGGAACAACACACACTGGGGCCTACTGGAGGTTGGAAGATGGCAGGAGGGAGAGGATCCGGAAAAATAACTAATGGGTACTAGGCTTAATACCTGGGTGATGAAATAATCTGTACAACAAACCTCCATGGCACAAGTTTACTTATATAAACCTGCAAATGTACCCCTGAACTCAGAATAAAAGTTAAATTTTAAAAAATGAGATAAAACAACCTTGAATTCCTGGATACCAACCCTCCAAAAGAAAAAAGAAAGAAAAAACAAAATAAACAAATAAAAGCATTGCATGCATGCTGCAATATTTCTACACAACAGAAACAATTAATAGAGCAATCTAGTTCCAAGAAGTCACCCTCTCCCAATCCATTCTAAATCTGTTCTACTCTATTTTTTATTTATTTTTTTATTATACTTTAAGTTCTAGGGTACATGTGCACAACGTGCAGGTTTGTTACATATGAATACATGTGCCACGTTGGTATGCTGCACCCATTAACTCGTCATTTACATTGGGTATATCTCCTAATGCTATCCCTCCCCCCACCCCCACCCCATGACAGGCCCCGGTGTGTGATGTTCCCCATCCTGTGTCCAAGTGTTCTCATTGTTCAATTCCCACCTATGAGTGACAACACATAGTGTTTGGTTTTCTGTCCTTGCGATAGTTTGCTCAGAATGATGGTTTCCAGTTTCATCCATGTCCTTACAAAGGACATGAACTCATGCTTTTTTATGGCTGCACAGTATTCCATGGTGTATATGTGCCACATTTTCTTAATCCAGTCTATCATTGATGGACATTTGGGTTGGTTCCAAGTCTTTGCTATTGTGAACAGTGCCACAATAAACATATGTGTGCATGTGTCTTTATAGCAGCATGATTTATAATCCTTTGGGTATATACCCAGTAATGGGATGGCTGGTTCAAATGGTATTTCTAGTTCTAGATCCTTGAGGAATTGCCACACTGTCTTCCACAATACCGTCATCATAAAAAACATTTTAAAATGTGTTTCATAACTGGAAATTCATTCAGTGGTTTTAAAAATGGGGAAGAAATATTGAGAAAAAACTACCATTTCTAAAGCTTAAGTGAACATATATGTTGCCAACCTAGAAGGAATATTCACCCTCTAGTTAATAAAGAGTTTGAGATGAAATGAATTCATGTAGTTTTAGTCACTTATTCAACAAATACTTATTAAGCAATTTTTTATGTCAAGCACAGTTTTAGACACTGAAGGTACATCAGTGAACAAAACAGTTTATATTTGATAATATATTCTAGTATGTCTTTAATTCAGAGTTCAAATACTGTATAATTAACTCATCTCTGCTTCTACCAGGATATGAACATGCATGTTTAAGTAACATCAATCTCCAGATTTTGATTTCAACCCTCACATTTACCACGTGAAACTTTATTATATTTAAAATTAAGAGTTTTCTTTGAAAATGCTGAGTTTAATTCTTTGAATGAACAGTACAGAAATTTAGCTACTAAATATGGATATAAATAATCACTGCTGAGTCTTATGGAAGCATGGTACACTTAACTCAGATATCCAGGGAAAATATGCCTACATACCTATCTTAACACATGTAAATTACATTCTAATTTTTCTGTCTCTCATGAAAAATGTGACTAGATAACCTTAAATTTCTTTACCCTTCTCCTACAACCCACTCCTACTATAGATTAATGTTAGTTTGGAAATTGATAAAGGAAACAACACAAAAGAAGACAAAGAACTAACATTTTTGACAAATTCCAGCAGTACCCATGCTATTTAAGTGATGCCCTTTATCAGCAAGACATCATGGTTGGGTAAGCAATAATTGTATTTAGAGGGACACAATAATGACAATTAGAGAAAGCAAAATCAGAAATAAAATAAGCATCTCTGAAAATTTAGAGATATATAAAGCAAAAATGGAAGTTCATTTTATTATCTCTGAGTAAGTAAGGGAGCTATGCATCTACTATATGCAATTCTAGAAATTTCAAACCACACCACACAATTAATGTTCAAATGCTTTGTCAGAAGAATTTCAAGGCATAATTTCCTTGATTTTTTAAAAACTTTTTCTTCATTATAGTGCTGGTTTCATTTGTAATATATTTAAATGAATTCTATGTGAATGACTGGATTATGTGCTACAACAACAAATACATGAGTGAATGGTTTATATGCTACAATTTTTGTACAATTTCTACAGTAGTACAAATTTAAGTATTACATGAAGATAAGAAATATCTATATGCTGCCTATTATCCTAACTCCACTTAGATCTCATCATTCCAATTATTTCAGTGTTTCATGAAGTCAAAAATACACCATTTAATGGCTATAATATATTAGGTAGTCACTACTGTGTTCTTGGTCTCACATACAAGCAAAACTTCTTTCACAGCCTGGGTAAAAAATAAGGTAGTTCTTGAGGTTGACAGGAATCTAGAACATTGCAAGAAAAGTAACCACATTGGGAGAAAGACAAATTGGAGCAACTGATAACCTAATATTTTCAGAGGAACTGACCACAGCAATCAAAGGGGGGCAAGGGCATTGGCCGTCCAAATTTCTGTAACTA